ATAGTCACATCATATGACAATATTATGATCAGACCACATGTCAGTATTGGGTATATAACACTCTCTCGTAATGTTACTAATATATGTGTTGTATAGTAAAAATGAGTGGCAAGTTATACTTTAGGGAATATTTTTTAACTAATATAATATCGTTAGATTGATCACACAATTTGATTGTCTTTATTATAATCATACCTTGGGACGGTTTACGATCACATTGAAAAGGCTCTACAAGAAGCAAATCGAGGTAGATACTTATAAGAAAATAGTGCAGAAAAAAGAGAGTACATAAATCATTCTCCATTACTATTATGGTGTGCTTGTTTGCCCTCACTCATTCACTAGACTGGACTAAGTGTTAGTATCATCTCATGTTTGTTACTTGCAAGGACTAGCTTTAATGAGACTTAGAAGGACTCGTCTCGACTAAACGCCTCACTGGAAGGTCTTAGCGAGAACCCCCTTGAAATCGAGTGGACTGCTAAGACCATCTCTGCTCTTCGCTTCTCACAGCCATTTTCAAAACCATATGGCGCTGTCGTTCTAGTACCTCACACATAATTTAAAAAATAAAAAAAACCCAAAAATTCGAAAAAAAAAATATTACAAAATTGCAATGCCTCTGAAACCAAAACGCACATCAGTAAGCAGGGAGAGCTGAAGGTTCCAGAGAAAAATAGGGCAGAAGGCGCTGAGTCGTTCCAATGCCTCCAGAAGACAAATAGCGGCATGGGTTCTATCTCTCTGAAACCAAATCGCGCAGTCGTTCCACTGTCTCCGGAAGCTTTCGGCTACTAACAAGAAGTTAACCTACAACCGTTGATTGTTTGATTTGTTCGTTTTTCTTGGTTGTGAGAGGGGGAGCTTTTGTCGGGCAGTGAGGTGAGGGCAATTCTGGATGGTGTGAAAAAAAAAAAAGGAAAGAAAAGAAAGGGTAAAGAGAGGGGACAGAAAGTGAATTAAAAATGAAAAAAAAAAAAAAAAAAAATTTGGATCACAATATTAATTTAGTCCCTGGTTTAGTCGACATTGCATCAACATTCTTATACTACTTAATTCATGTCAAGCGAATCCAACTTAGTTCTTGAAACTAATCCACTCCGAAATAATTCAATACAATAAACGCACCATTAGATCATTTCAATCAAAATTCATCCCCAAGATAACTAACAAAAGTGGGCCATACGTCCCATAGATTTTTGCATCATTATCGTATCCAAAGGATAAAAAATGATCGATAATGCTCTACAACTACAAGTAACTTCAAACTCATAAACATATGAATCATATCTTTTGTATATACATAGTGTAATACAGAAGTGATATATATACATACACACTACATATCCAGTGCTTCAATTCATTAAATTATAGGATAAAGATATAGTATTTACTATAGTTATAATATCCATACATCTATAATGTAATGGGGTGGAGACTGGAGAGGGAGAAAGGGCAGGAAGAGGTGTCATATCGGCACGTGGGGTGGGGGCTGATTCCCTTCAGTTAATAAACTATGCAGAGAACGCAGTGGTGAGAGACTTTTTCCAGTAGTGAATCGAAACCCTTTTGGAGGGAGTCCTACCCCAATCCTCCTCACCTTCTTCCCTCCCCAGCTGTTGCTAGCTGTCGCTAATATCCCCACCCCCATGTGACCCACCTCCCTCCCTCTCCAAAACCTCAGGGCCTTAAAAAAATGTCCCCAAAAATCCAAAGAAAATGCCACTCATTCATTTATGTTTATGATTATTGCTAGCTGCATGTTGCATTCGGATTCCTGCTCTTCCTGCGGCTGCCCATGTAATCCTGCTGCCCTGCTCACTTCCCTTTAATATCTCTCTTTACTCTTTTTTTAGGACTGCCCTAAAGATTAAGGGATCATTGCAGTTGTAAGTTGTTTGTTGGGTTGGTTGTTGGCGGTGTTTCCCTTTTCTTTCTTTTTTGTTTTTTTTTTTTCTTGGGATTTGGTTTCTGGCTTTTGGTTTTGGGTTTTGGGTTTCTCTCTCTAATAACACACATATTTTAGGGTACGCTATATTTGGTTGGGGAGGTCACAGTGAGAGAATGGCACAATTACCTCCTAAAATACCAAGCATGACACAGAATTGGCCATCCTTCCCTCACCAAAGGCTACCCGCCATGGCCAATTTCATCCCCACCACCACCACAACCACTTCTGCCGCCGCCGTCCAACCCTCTTCCAACCAACCGAACCAACAACAACAACAACAATCCTCGTCATACAATTGGATCGACGAGTTCCTCGACTTCTCCTCCGCCAGGCGCGGGGCGCACCGGAGGTCGGCGAGCGACTCCATTGCCTTCTCAGAGTCCCCGCTTATACTTGACGAAGAATGCAGGAACCCCACCGCCACCATGATGCATCATCACGGATCGACCAACAACCTCGGCTTCGACAGGCTAGACGACGAGCAGCTCATGTCCATGTTCTCTGACGACATGTCGGTGACCGTGCCGCCTACCGTCTCGTCTTCCAGCCCGTCCACGCCGTCCGACCAGAACAGCAATAACGACGAAAACAATATTAACAATGACAATAATAATAACAAGAAGCCATTGATGGTTCATCTGGACCAGCAGCAGCCGAAAACTGAGCCCGGAGAGGTTGAAAGCTCGTCGTGCGAGGCTGACGCTAATGCTCAATCTCACCCGCCACCTCCAACCTCCCCGGCTGACCCCAAGAGGGTCAAAAGGTAATTTCAGAACAATGTATTTCATTAACAATTTTGTTATACAGGATTTTGCATGCATGGTTTGGGCAATTAAACCAGATCTGTCACGTAAAAAATAAGATCTGCAAAATTGGTTGCTGCCAAATTGTCGTTAATTTATGTTTGGTGCTATTTACACACTCTTTTTATCTTCCTCACACCTCTCAATTTTCAACCGTTAGATCGAATGAATTGAAGATAATAAAAAAAAAATTAGCAAAAACGATATGGAAGGTAAAAAAATGTGTATGGATAGCACAACTCTTAATTTATAACTATATATATAGCTTATTAATTAAAAACAACTTTGGGTTGTGATTGTAGGATTTTGGCAAACCGGCAATCAGCACAGAGGTCGAGAGTGAGAAAGTTGCAATATATTTCAGAGCTTGAACGCAGCGTTACAACATTACAGGTATACAAGAAGATCAATTAGTTTGCTTTGCTTAATTCCTTATCATTGGTAATTAATTTGGTTTGGTGAATAATTTAATTAATTAAACTTGTTTGTGTTGTGATTAAGTCGGAGGTATCGGCACTGTCACCAAGGGTTGCATTTCTAGACCACCAGAGGTTGATTCTAAACGTTGATAATAGTACTCTCAAGCAACGGATTGCTGCTTTGGCTCAGGACAAGCTTTTCAAAGATGGTAATTAAGATATGAGTTCAAAATAAACCATGATTAATTATTGTTTAATTAGTGTTGTGAAGATAATGCATGCATGAACCCTTTATCTCAACCTTCACCTTATGGTGCTTTTTCCACTTGAGAGCAAATTCAAAGGAATATCAGCAAAAGTCCTTTCTTTCCTATCACTGTCCAACTTCCTTAATTGGAAAAAGTATTGATTTAGACCTTTTAATCCCTTCAAACAAAAAGTGGGAATTTGTGTTTCTATTCAATATTCTATGCATTATTATTATTAACCCTAATTGTTATCTGCACACCTGACTTAACTAAGTTGACTAGATCAGTGAGTTCTCTCTTCTGTATCAAAATCTTAATATACCTCTCATAATTTTGACAACTTTAGTCTAAAATTTCGAATCGTTATATGGGAACATAACCAAATATAACATGAATTTTACCCAAATCCCAAGAATTTATTCTAATTTTTATTTCGATTGACTTTTTTTCAGCTCATCAAGAGGCACTAAAGAAGGAAATAGAGAGGTTAAGGCAGGTCTATCACCACCAAACCCTAAAGAACATGGGTAATCAAAGAAACCAAAACGCACAGCAGCATCAAAAGCAACAGCAACAACAGCAGCAGCAATCAAACCCAGACATCATGGTCTGTACGGATCACAATGAGCAGCAAATCCTCAATTGAAGCTGAAGATTTGATGATATAATATAATGCAGCATGCAGATGCATATATGATATGGTGGCATACAATGCTGACTTTGGCCTTACTTTCACGTGTAGTGTTTCCACTTGTATGCTTTCTATGTGCGACCCGTGACAAGGTTATGAGATTGGAGGCTATAACATGGACACGTGGACTGCTTGGATTGGATGCTGAAAACAATTTTTTTTTATTTTCGGTAATCAATTGTTTTTGTTGGGAAGGTCGGCCACTTTGTTGTATCATTTTTCTGTGCTTTTCTTAGCCCTTTAGACTAATAATGTGTGACGTTATTTGTTTATGTTATTGAATCCTTTTGGAAGAAAAATATAAAAGTATATAAATTTAGTCCTGTTAAAGCGGTGTGTTTTCCATCGTATTTACATAAGTTTAAATTCCCTTCTTGCTTTAAATGATTAATCCTGCGTAGCATATCTCTTATATCAAAGGAAAATAAAACTTTCGGATTTTAAGAGTGACAATTGACCTGTAATGCATTATTTCAAGTAACATCGTTTCAAGTTCGAGGCACTAACCTAACTGGTCAATTATTAGATTACGACTAGCCCAAAAAACTTAAGCTTTCGAGAAATCTCTTTACCACCAGTCTGGCTTTGTATCTTTCAAATTTTACCATCTGATTTTCGCCTTCGAATGTAGAGTACCGTCTCAGCCAGTCCTTTCTAAATACAATGCTCAATCTAGTATTGTACTAGCCATACAGCCTAACGAGCCCTACGAGCATTCGAACAGTCGTAGAGTAGTGTCTCTAAGCTGTTCAAACAGTCACGTTTTACCTACAACGCCGTTCGAGCGGTAAACAAGCAATTTTGTTGATCTTTAAAATCTAAAGCCCAGATCATGTCAATGTACAAGGATGTTGCAAAACTCTCTTAAACTTGACAGAAGCTCCAAAGTAACGAAAGACTTATTCATTGCAGAGTGCCTTAATACAGAAGTGGTTACAAATAAGCATATTTGGTACACTAACACTAGTATTATTGTACTATTTACTCAGTAGAGTTGTATTGCTTACAGTCTTTGTATAAGCTATAGTTTCAATTCGTCTAAACTAGCCATGGCAGTCTCCACTTTAATCCTCCTTCCCATTCTGGACATCTCCGTCTTCAGCATTCACCCTTCCACGTGTGAAATGTGATTTCAGTCCAGTCCAGCACTGGTAATAATCATGAACGATGAGAGGAGACTCAAGAGCCCATGTGCATACTCTGGGGATTAAACACGATTCAAACATAAAAGCCAAAGTATCAGTGATTCTGAATGGTCCTGCCTCATTTCCATGCGCAAGGGTAGCCTGTGAATCCAACAGAGTCGGTGTTAAGCAAGGACTGATCATTGAGCATTTACAGTTATTGTATGACTAACAAGTGAAAACCGAAATCCAGTCAATCAACACCAAGGAAAAGAAAATTGAACCAGTCAACCATATCAGTTCGGTGAATTCACCCAAAAAAAAAAATTCAGCGAACATCAAGCCTTTCTTTCCATACTACTAGAAAAAGGGTGTGAACATGTAGTTTGTTTTCCTGTGTATCCATAACAAGAATATATGTTGCGCCACCCATAATTTCTCATTGGTTGTAGAATAAATAGCATCTTTTATTTATTACTGTTTATAAAAAAGGTTTACCTCATATGTTTTGGTATCAGGACCATGGGGAGTCATGCAGCTATGAAGGCTTGCACCACCAGGAAGAAAACCATCGGCTTTTGCCTGAAAACAAGAATACGTGTTAATTCTTCCGTGCTAAGTCTAACATACAGATGACCCTCAAACCTTACAACAAAAAGAAGACCACCCATCTAGTGTCACGACAACACATTTATTTCATCTCATAGTAACTAAATAACATTTTTAATATACAATGCAGCTGCTTTCTCCATGCATTTATAGAAAAACTAGGAGGGTTTCTTTTTGGCCCTAAATTCAGTTTCAAAGCACAAGGTATGTGGAGCTCCTTCAAACCCTCAAAGCAAAGTTTATATTTAGATACATTGTAGTAAACATGTTCATGGTATTACCTCATATTCACCGTAGATGAGACCCATAAACTCACTCATACAATTACGATGATAGTATGGAGGTCGGAATGTATGCTCAGCAACCAACCATCGCGGAGGGAAAATGACAAAATCAAGTAATGCAACACCAGGTTTATCAGTTGGCGCTGTCAAAACTGCATCACAACGGTATAAGATCAGCCATGATAAGTGACACATATTTTTACTAATGAAAAATACATGGGGGAAAAAGGAAAAGCCATTTTCTATGTACCTGTATTCACCGATGGATCACCGTGATCAAATAAAACAGTGTTAAAGGGGCAGAACGTAGTCAGATCATACTGCAAGAAAATATGGTTTTTTTACAAATCGGGTCTTGGGAAGGTGAGAGTACATATACCATAATCATATCGACAAATTAGTTTAGGGTAATTATTCCTCTGTGTGATATAAACTGAACACAAACGATGAAAATAAAAAACAAGAAAAGAAAAAAAAAAAAAGGGCAACAACTCTTAAACATGAGTAGGAATGTAGCAACAACAATATAACTCACCTTATATGGAGCATAATTGCCATGCCAAGCAACTACATTGAAGGGAGAGAAATCTTGCTTTGCAGTAAAGAGTTCACCACCAAATTTCTGTATAATGATGTAGCCAGGTCGGGAACTCTCTTCGAACCACGCAGTGGGAACAAGAAAATCCCTTGGAGCAGCGAGACCATTCGCTCCTACATGTAATCAAAATTACACTCTCACAGCCTACTTATAATGAAAACATTCAAAATAATAACAAACATTCTATTGGATTGAGATTCAAGAATCGCAATCATTCTACGCTGATTCTGTCACTGCTGAAAAGTGAAAACCGAAAGAGGGCATGAGGACATGAGGTGTACCTACCAATTGGTCCAAGATCAGGGAGTTGAAAATGGGTGCCAAAAACCTCGGCCACATAACCACGCGAAGGGCCATCAGGCAGATCAACCGCAAAACGAAATCCTTGAGGTAATACAGCAATTTCACCAGGAGAAATTTGTAACTTTCCGCATTCGGTAGTGATCCAGAGCCCTACACAACCACAATCGACAATAGAGTGTCACAAATGATGCCTTTGATCATTGCATAACCCAAATTCAATCCAAGATCGACGACCCTTAATTACTTCAGCATTCAAATAGAATTTACACCTAATGAACTTGGGAAATTGGCTAAAATGATCAGAAATCAAATCCCAATTGCTGAACGGATCAAAATTAAAAACCAACCCCATATCAATTAAATATGGATGACATAGCGATGAAATATCGGCCACCTACTGAAAAACTGGTAATTTACCAACAAAATCTAAGCGCCCAATGGTGAAACAAATTAATAAAGAGTTGCAATTGATCATCATAAATCAACCACTTACTTCCAGTCTGGGGAACGATCAAGAAATCGCCATCCGCGTTGCAAAACGCACAATTATCCATTGATTTGTTGGCAGTGTACCTACACAATTATCCCTCAATTATCAAAACATGCATAAAAATTCAATCTTTAGCACCCTATATACTTGTTCAGCAAATCACAGAGTACAAATTACATGTGAATAGCAAAACCGTGGCGGAGGAACGAGCTCCCGGCGCCACACACGGTGAACAACCCTTCAACAAAGTCGGTGGGGGACTCGGGTACATCGACGGGCTTCCACCGGAGCTGAGTCGGCGTGGTGGAGCTGTTCGCCTGGGTGAACTCGGAGACGAGCTTTCTGTGGCTCGGCTCGAGCCGCCTGAAGGGCTCGTGGGTGACGGAGGGCTTGACGCGGTAGAGCCATGATCGGAGGTTGAGCTTGCGAGGGGAGGTGAAGGAGGTGCCGGAGATTTGTTCAGCGTAGAGGCCGTACGGGCAGAGAAGGGGGCTGCTCTGTCCGTGGGGGAGAGCTCCGGGGAGAGCTTCGGAGGAGAAGTGGTTGTGGAAGCCCGATTGGTACTGGAGGTCAGAGAAGGAGGAGGAGGTGGAGGATAAAGAGCCGTTGCTTTTGATGTCCGATTGCTGATGCTCCATCGGGGCTTCCGGATTAAGTGGATTTTGTTACTACAGGTAGCATTACGAAGTGTATATGATACAGAACTTCTGTTTGGATTTGGATTGGATTGGATTTGGATTTTGGATTTTGGATTTGGATTGGATTTGGGAAAGAAAGATGGCGATGGTGATGACGTGACATGCTCATCAGTTGGAGAGTCGTATGGGGAAATGGAAGTTGATTTTGGAGGGAGTGGAAATTGAGACAGGATCACGTGCCATTCGGTTTCATGAGAATAGGAAACTGCCGTGAGTTTTCATTTAACTTTCGATTTCCCTCAAAATTTTCAATTAGAAAATCAAAGATTTAAACTAAATTTTTTGGCCAATTATCTCCTACCGTTAGCTTTCTATAGATTTTATCGAAATTAATATTAACTGTTATCACGTGCATACTACCTGACTCTCCTTTAAGGACAAAATGTCGCTTCGTTAGACTTTAGACACAAAAACTATAGATTCACATAGATTTGCATATGTTGACATTCTAGAAATCTATGGTTTTCAATTATTTTAAAGAATAAAGAGACCGAACTACCCTCACATGTTGTGCACATACTTCCATTTAATAAAAATTTGGATTGAATGAATAAAAAACTAACATCATGGCCGAAATCAGCAGCTTACTCTCAACAGAATAAAGGCTAGTGGATTATCTCGGACTAGGTTAACTTCACAGCTTGAGTTGGAATGATTTAACAAAGTTTTGATACAATGTCGAATTAAGAAGTAAGATAATTACCAAACTCTAATAGTATATTATTTAATCCATATTTATTAGTATCTTATTATTAATTTACCTTTCTCTTTCTTTGGAAACCTCTTCCTTCCTCTCAAGACCTCTCTATTTTTCTCCATCCCCCTCTCTCCCTCCCCCTCTTATTTTCCCGTTTTTCTACCTTTTTTCTTCGTCCCATTGTCTCCCTCCCCTCTCCCTTTTTTTCTCCCTTTTTGACCTTTAATTTCTCTGGCTTTCTTCTTCTTCTTCAAAGTTTGAAACTTTATTTTGCCTTACAGGAGGAAGCAGTGTATTTTGCACCTTGTTGATGCACAAAATCAGTGAGACACGTAAAGTGTTAAGCTTGTGACCCTCGTAAGGTTACTCCGGTCACCTAGTGAGGATAATATGTAAAGAGACAAAGATAGGAAAGTGAACACAAGATGTACGTGGTTCACCCTTAGTTGGCTACATCCACGAGGGTTGAGGAGTTCTCATTAATAGTGAAGAATTTACACAATACATAGGTTCAAGCATAAACTTCATTAGTGAGTTATGAACACAAGTTTAAGTACCCTAATGACATTAGGAATTAGTTGTAGGAGAGTGGTCCCCTTTTATAGTTGAGGATAGTCTCTAGCTTCTGCCCCCAATCGATGTGAGACTCTAGGAGCTTTATTAGCCTGAGTATGTATGCAAAACAACAGAAAAGGACTTTGTTAAACTGAGCATGTATGCAAAACAAAAGAAAGGAAAAAGGGATTTATGCCAAAGCTTTTAACTTGAGAAAGCGAGGGAGTTGTAAAGGAAAAAGGGTATTGCAAGAGAGTAGTTTTGAAGGGACGGCTTGTTTGACATGACCACGCAAGACAACTTAGAATTTTTTAGAGCAACGCTGTAGAAGGTGATGGAAACTCCAACAAATGCAAGTGTTTGGTGTTGGAAGGAGAGAACATCAAATGTGAGACCGTATGCTTTGAGTTTTGTTTTTTTATTTTTTAAAAGGGTGTCCAATAAAATCTTTGTCAAAAGAAGATATGAAGACTGTTATGTCAAAGAAAAATGTTGTTCACCGCATGATGGGTCCATTTCTGTTCCCAATGGAAATGATGAGATAACTACAGCTAATGAATTTTCTCAAAAAATAATATCAGCAATTCACGACTTCCTTCATCTATGTGGACCAAATGTTGCTCTGAAGCATGGACGGAGCCAATGAAGGCTCACTGGGGGCAGATGCCCCCACTCAAGTAATTCGTTTATTAAGTTGCTGACTAGAGTTGTATAATACACACGCATTATCTTCGAAGAAAATATATGCATCTAATATCCAACATACCTTCATACCACTTATACTTCATGTCAAATATTATATGAGCAAAAGTGCTCTTACTCTGTAATTCAAACTGAAAAACTCCTCTCCCACCCAATGGCATAGCAATACCAAAGGCTACGATGGGTTGTAGCCTAGGGAAAGTTTGTGGCAATATGTATAATTGTATATGTATTTTACTGCATAGTCTAATAAAATAGACAAAAAAATCTGCAAGAAGAAATATTTTTTAATGAAACTAACCTAGCGTGTATGTAGCACAACTAGAAATATAAAAATTATCTTGGAAATTGTGATGCCATTTTGTTCAAGATTATTCTGCTTTGATTCAGCGAGCTTTATATAAGTTTCAATCAATTTTTTTTTTTTTTTTTTTGGTAAAACAATCAATTTTTTTTTTTAATATTGCCTTTACATCTACTTTCATTGTTTTGCTTTGTACTAGTTGTGTGATTGTAATTGAGATGTCAAGTTTTGTATCTTCTTCTTGTGTTTGCATCTAAATATATATATATAGAAGTTTGATGATTCATTGTAAATTTTGCGGTATGCAAATGCGAAGCTTAATTGAGTTCATACCAAGCAAATTTTAAGTCTTCAAATACAAAAGTTAACTTAAATTTTTGCATACAATATGTATGTAGCAAAAAAATATATATCATTTGATTTTGGGGTAAGTTTTTTAGTTAGCCCACCCACAAAAAAAATTTTGGCTCTACCCTTGCCTATTATGTATTAATATTTTTCTCACCACTTTTCCACTTTCCACTACTATACTGAAATTTTTGTAACATGAAATTGTGCTACATCATCATTTGAAAGCATCCATATTATCATATTGTGTATAAGTCATACTATAATAAGGTTTTCTTAGTTGAATTTCAGGATGCCCCCACTAAAAGAAATTTGTAGCTTCGTCCCTGTTCTAAAGGTGAGGAATTTTGGTCAACAAAGTTCACAAATTCCATCATCATTGAACTCAGTTAAGACTACTGTGAAACCAACCTGAGAGAAATGCATAAATAAATCTTATACTCATAAGCAATTACATGAAGAAGATTTTGAAAGCTTAGAACTTCCATCGAACAGGACGATTGTACTAGAACTGATGGACGTTGGTCCAAGTTGAAGGGATATAACGTCAAAAGAGAGAAAATATGCTTTGAGTTTGATTTTTTATTTTTTAAATAGGTGTAAATATAAATTTACATGGTGAATTTGGTTTAGAATGTGGTTTGGGAAGTAACTTTGGGTTTAAAAATATGTTGATTTGATTAAAAATAATGAGTGTAGCGGATAAGCTAAGTGCAGGGCGATTTATAGATTCCATAAAATTTTCTTTTTCAAAATGTGGAGAAAAATTGTGCATAAACCACTCTCCTAGTAGAAAAATAAATAAACCAACAAATGACTCAGTTTTTGTTTAAATATAATTAAGGTTGGTGTTCGGGTTTGTGGTGCTTTCAAAAGAAGCAGCTTATTAAAAAATTTAAAACATTAAATGTGTTTGGTAAAATAAATTTAAAAAAAAAAAAAAAAACTACTATCAATGGAAGTAGAAACATTAAATGTATTTGGTAAAACAAAAAAAAAAGTATTTTTATTTTCTTCCAAATCATAGTAATCAATACTCATTTAGTGAACTTTTCAAATAACAAGTATACTCCCACATGTTTTACAAAAATACAATATGTGTCCCTGCATTATTGTCTTTGACAATTATTATATCACGTTAAATACTATATTATTTTTAGTCATTTAACATATTCAAAGCAATTTATATAAAAGTTTACCAAATACTCAGACACTTTTTTTTATTATTATTAAAAGCACTTTAAAAAAATGGAACTTTCATGAAAAGGGCTTAGATTAAGTATATTTTAATAAAAAATCATGCTATAACTTTATTTAATTAAAAAGACTTAAATTTTAATGAAAAACCCTCAAATTTTAATAAAAATGACAAAAGAACTTAAATTTTAATGAAAATGACATAATTTTAATATTAAAAAAAATTTAAAACAAATTTGACGCGCGGACTTATGCGTCCTCACACTGTTTATGAAACTTACTGCACTATTTATGAAAACTTACGACACTGTTTATGAAATTTACTACATTTTTTATGAAATTTAACAGTACTACACTATTGTGCTATGTTTGTAACCCCGCCCACTCTCTTTTCTTCCCCTTTTCTTTCTTCTTTTCCTTTTCCCCCATGAACACTCCAGAACTATCTCTCTCTTTTCGAATTCTCTGTTGAAAGAGTTTAAGCTAGGGTTGTAAATACTGATTGCATAAACTCAACTCAATTAATTATGAGTGAGGTATGGACTTCATTATATAGAGATTACAAGATGAGGTTGGTTACAGTATAAACATATCATCTGATTACATTTGAAATTCAAAACTAAGTTGCACATGAGTTTTAGATAAGGAAGGATTGTGATTCCTTTCTATATGTTGAAGAGTTTAAAGAGTATCCAACTTGTGTAGCTAACTTGGAGAGTCCTTTACCATGCATTGCTGACCTGGAGAAAGATCCTGACTATTTGGTTTATCATCTGCCTTCTCTCTAAACCACCATAGCCAAAAAGAACTCCAAGCACCATCACCACAAATTCCAATTTTATTGAGACCTCAAACAACCAAATGCAAGACCTGCGCAAGCTGGGGATCCCTATGGTATCATTGCATGTTAAATTCTGTAATGGGAAGTAGGATAATCCAAGCAATGGGTTCTCGGTGAGAGTTGCTCTAATGGAATCGAGCTACAACCTTTGAAAATAGGAGGTATTAGCTTGGTTTTGTTGTAATATGTTGCTAGTAATGTCTTCTAGCATCTTGGATCAAATATGGGTTTGAAATCTGGGTCTGATGGAGTTTTGGGTGGGTGGGTAGGGGACACTACACAAAGGATATTAAGAAGAAGAAGAAAACAGAAGTTGATATTAGTTATGGCGACAACTGAAACAAACACAAAAATCACAAACCGATCGATTTTTCTTGTCTCTTCGCTTCCTCCTCCACCCTCTAACAAAGCTTGGCCAATCTTTTATTCAATCTTCTTCAACTTAACAAAATCTACCTTAGTTACATGCTCGCCTTTATTTTACATGCACACACACTCTCTCCCTCACTAGATTGATTAGCAGCTACCTACTGCCACTGGAGTGCCTTTAATGGAGCTAGAATCATACCTAAGAGGACTGGAGTGCCTCCTTGGTCCAACCGGGGAAGCAGCGAATGACAACTGCTTTTTTACAGACGTCACTAATCGCGATTTTTACTTTTTATGTTTATTTATTTTTTATTTTTTATCCTTATCATTAAATAAAGTTAGTGTAGGGTTTTTCATTAAAATGCAAAGATTTGAAGTCATTTTCATTAGTTTTCATTTAAAAAAAAAGGTTTACCAAACACTTAACAACTTTATTTTACAACTGTTTATTCTCACAACATAGCAGAAGTTTTTTTAAAAAGCACATCAATACTAAACTAGCCCTTAGTGAAGGAAAGATATCACAAATCCGTGGTAGCAATATTAAACTTGGGACTATTGATCTATCGGGTTCTACTCCCGGTGGTGAAAAATCTTTTTTTAATTAATTATTAAGCTCTATAAAAATCCATGGATTTATAAATCCATTAAAGTATCTTAAATTCTCAATCGAATACACCCCCCAAGTCTTGTGTGTTGTGATATAGTGTGGGAAGGATCATGTCGTGTATATTAATTAACCAGTCAGAAGAAGTCACGTGTCTATTAAGAGAGAGAAAATTGAGAAAAGAAAAAACCCAACGGCCCATAATCCCCATTATCCAGCCAATCTTACCCGCCCTAAACCCAGCTTAACCCCTTTCTTCTTCTCGTCTTCTCCAGCCTTCACAAAGCATCACCAGGCATATATACCCAGCTCACCCGCCGTAAACCCCGCTCACACTTCACAAAGCATCACCAGCTGCGCCACAAGCCACCGTCCACGCCCTTCTCTCTTTCCTCCAATTCCGCGCTTGAGCTGCCGATAATTTCAGGTAATTTATCTAAAACACTATTTAAAATTTCTGGGTTTATCGATTAATTGTGTATTTGTGCTATGATTTGTATCAGTTTTTTAATTTTTTTATTGACTGAATTAGATTAATTCATGTTTGTTCTGATTAGAAAGCTTGATTTTTTACTGGTTAGCTTGAAGCTTGAAGCTTTAGTTCTTCAGGTACCTTCGTGTTTTCGTTGAGTTAAGGTATATTCAGATTCGTGAAATTCCTCTCCTTCAACCTTTGCATGTTGGATTTCACATCAACAGCATCTCCCTATAACCCAGGAGCTTTGTTCGGATTCATGCTTTCCGACGGTAATTGGACGATTCCTCGGACGCTCTGAAACGATTCCTACCGTATTGACCTATTCCATGTCAAAATCTGCTTTAGAAAAATTGTCATGATTTTGTCTAATCCAATTTAACCATTAGAAATTTTGACTGGGGACTGCAATTTCATCTGCCCCAAACAAATAGATTCTTTTTAATCTGAATTTAGAAAATTATATTCGAATTTGTTTTACATCTGATTCAGTTGGATTTAGGGGTTGTGTTTTAGTGTTTCCTGGCCTGAGTTGTATATCAAGAAAAAAGAGTGATTTTTTTTGGATCGTAAAGAGTTCATCATGATCATAGACATGAGTCTGATATTATAAGTAAGATGCCGAGTCCTCTTGCATTCATATAATTACATTTGTGAGCTGCTTTTCTGGGTTTTTGTTGATTTTTTTGCTTATCTGGTATATACAAGAAGAGTGACACCGCCACAAACATTATCAGTTTATACATGAAAAACATAACACTTGGGCCAATCTAACCATTTATTTTGAGTACATCACATCAGCAAAGTAATATAACATATGAAAACGAGGTTTTTTCAAGTCAATTTTTGTTGGCATGTTGTTGTTCATGTAAGTGTTGATTGATAAATGCGAGTGCTTTTGTCATAGAAGAAGAAGAATAGTATGTATGCTATGAGTCTGAGAACTCAGACATATGAATTGTATGGAGGTAATCAACAATTATGTGACTGTTTTTTTTGCTAAAAAATTGTGACTTTTTGATATATTGTTCATTACGAAACAAAGAAGAATAGGAAGAAATTGTAATATATGATCTCTAACTATTCGACTTTGTTCCAAGCAATATTGTTTGGTGAAATAGTTGTGTTAAGATATTGGAGAAAATTAAAAATATTTAAAATTCATTTTGAGGTGGTTGTTATTCTCCAGGTGAAATCAGCGTACCAATTCTCAACATCAATGGTGACATATGAAGCAGGGCATTAATTGTTCAAAAAAGCCCAACAAAACTCCAAGCAGCCCAATTCTGAAAACCCAAAACCCTCCCGACTTAAATCCTCTTTTTTTTTTTTTGGCGACTTGGATCTCTGCATGGCTGACGCTCTCTCACCGGAACCCGAACTCTACTCACCACAACCGCACCAAAACACTCCAAACAGTCCAAGCAAACTGAACTGCCGCAAAAGAAAGTCCGACAATGATGAAACTCACCCCGCAGTGCCTCCCCATGTTCAAAAACTTCTCAAACGAATCGTTTTGTCCCTGAGCAAGCCCTCCTATCTCCTTGATGTCGGCTCCACAAGACCCCGAGCCGAGCACCGTGCCCGGCTCACCAAGCTCCTGCGGAAGCTTGTCAAGCAGCGCAACTGGGTCGAAGCCAGCGGAGTCCTGAGCGTGTTGTTGGAAGGCAGCCGGAAAGACAGGTCGCCGGCGAACAACCGGTTCAAGTATTGGGTAATGAGATTAAAGTGTGAAGCTTTCTGGGCTTTAATTGGTGTTCGAAATTGAATAGTAGTAAATTAGAAGAAGCCCTCTGATAATTATAAGTTTTATCGAAAAACACTTTGAAGGCTCAATTAGGGAAAAAAAAAACCCATCATTATCCACTTTTCATGCTCTAATTGAGTTCTTAGGTGGTTTTTTTTCATAAAGTATTGAATTTTAAGTGTTTTTATCTAGGGAGAAATAGCCCATTGAATAATTTGATTGTTTTGAGAATAACCCTTTAGCAGTGATAATTTTATTGTTGGTTTTTGGTAATGTATTTTAGGTTTTGATGGAAATGCTTGAGCATTTGGATTCCAATGCTTATAAGGTTATGGAAGCTTATGCTGTTTGGGAGGGGAGGAATGCGATGGCAGGTTACTCGCCTGAGGTTTGTTTTATATTCGCTATGATTTTACCTGGCTTATGCATTTAATTTCGGTATATATTTATACTGATTACTCATACTTTCTTTTTGTTGAGCAGTACCGGTATGCGCTTCAACTGGAGCGTATTACTTTGTTGATTACTGAAGGAAATTACGATGAGCATGCCCATCACTCTACCGTGATGTATGTATGAGTCTTATATTTTCACTCCTTTGCAGCTTTCTGCATATGGTAGCAATTTCTGTACTGTTATCCTATTGAATGCTGTTTTTGCTAGTTCATCATTCACAACATTGAATCAGGAAACCCATGTGTTATGTATTTGAGTAATGCTGCATTTGACTTGCATTTTTATGATTTCTCAAGAAATTTTTGGCCGTTCTTTATCTTTACTCAATAGAGGCAATGAATAGAACAAACAATTTTTTATCAGGGTATCATCCAACCCTTTGACTTATGATTCTCTTGTTTCCTTTTGACAACGTGTTGTGTGTGTCCAAATTTTTTAAAGTTACATGTTGAGTTTGCTACTTTTAGAAAGAATTTTCTGATAACTAAATTTTCTCTCTTTTTTGAATTGTACTTGAACTTGTTATGTAAGTAGGGAAACGTATACTTTTTTTTGTGTTCCCACTATGCCATGCTTTATTTCTAGAATTTTATTTTCCTGTGTCTCTGTTGTGTCTCTTTGCATCTCACGTCTGTAATTCATTTTCATGTAGTTTTTATATCCTTGATATTTGTTATAGGTGGACTTTCTCTGCCACTTTTATTTGGCTAAGTACAGACATTAACAAACAAAAGACAAAATTGGCTTGTTGGTTAGCAGAAATGAGTCTTCAATTTTCCGTATTAGTTTTGAATTACCTTTTCCTTTTTTTTATCTGATTTAGGCTGCAAATATGGTGGCTTTTAAGAGATACCATATGCAAGACATCACCTAATCAATTATATTTGTTTTTTCTTCCAGTCTCACACAATTAAAGGAGTTTGGAAATGAACCACTGTTAATGATGATTGTAGGATTGGCATACCAGCAACTGTGGTATTCCAATCTTCCAAATGAAATGAAATGGAGGGAGTCCGACCAGTTTTACACTGCGAGGGAATCAAATGAACTACTTCCACACTCAGAGGGGCATTATGCAGGTAATACTCACGAGGCTGGTACTGGCATTCAATGTGGTTCAGAGACCTCTGTAATGAATGATAAAGTATCATATATTGGTGCCGACGGTGGCATACATAGAGATATATCTATGGGGGTCGATGACATGGAGATAGAAAATTCTCAACCAAACTTTGGGACCCAAAGTTTCTATGCGGACCCTGATGAAGATACAGAAAATGAAAATGATGGTGAAATGCAGTATGCTCCCGTTTTTGAAGCCCTTGGTGAGTAACCAGTTTCCTGCATTCTCTCATTTGATGTTATGTGTTAGGCTTTCAATCGTTGAATTTCTTTCTTTGTATAAGGAAATATAAACATTGTCCCTTATCTCATCCATATTCATGATGAAGAGTTTCTGTAAATGCAGTTGCTATAAAGGGGGAAGGTATAAGTTTTATAATCTAGTTCCAGCTGATTTAAATTAGCACAGTTCAAAATAGTACATGCGTTGTTTAGTCTGCTAGTCTTGACTACAATTACCAGATACTGGTTGTAACGAGAATGCGTCCATTACTCAACGTATTGTATGTGCGCGTTTGTAGTACACATCTGTTACTTTTACTAACAATTAACAAATAATTGTTTCCATTCACTCTGTATTTTCTTAGGTGTTTATTAACTTCCTAAGTATATTTTTGTTCTATTCGTTATTGTGGACATATATGATATATACCTGATTTGTCATTCATTATTTCAGAGGGCTTGGAATCTCTGTTACTTCCCATACGATTGCCAGAATCTACAGATAGGGAGGATTTCATGAATTCACAGACGACAATTTTTAATGACACTTTTAGGAGTGCAGTGAAGTATTTAAGGCTAGCTCTTCACTCCACGCCCCCAGTATTGCAGGCCTTGCTTCCTTTGGTACAGGTAAAAATTTGTTCTAGTAAAGTAAGAACATTATCTTAATATGATTTTTATAAAATTCTAGTTGCTAATGTTATGGCAACCCTATTATAATTTTTATTAATGTACTTAAGTACCAAGTGATATAGTTGTAGCTTATGGTACCCTGCCAAAACTCAAGTACTCTCTTCTCAGGCTTTTTCTTTATGTGGTAGCTGTTGCTGATTGGAGGTCAAGTAAAAGAAGCCCTCAATGAGATTGAAAACTGCTGTAGTCCAAATACTGCACTGCCAATTCGGTACTGATTTCTTTGGCAAATTTCTTTTTTATCTCTGATTGTGAATGTGAATTGAATATATAAGTTAGAAAGCGCACCAGATGAATGGAAATTAATAGGAAATTCTACTAAATTGATTCTAGAAAACATGGGATAAAAGGTGAAATGACTGTATAGGATTTGACTAATGATTGCTGCAGTGGCGGTTGGTCATAGCAGTGAAGTTGGAGGTGGTGATACTGGTAATACGTTAATAAATGACTAATTGGTGCTAACTTGTCACTAGGATGAAGAAGTTGAATGAAATAACAATGACAGCACCGAAAGAAATGATTGCAAGAAATTGAAAATAAAATCAAGGAGCTTAACAAAAATCAAGGGCAGAAATGTCTCTTTGTATAGGAATAAGGCACACTTTATTTGGAAAACAGCATTTACAATCTCAAAATAATGTTTTCTTCAAAGAAGAAAAACAGAGTAAGCATACTTATTCGACTCCGGACTGGTTTCCTGGTCTTTGTCGATTAGTTGGGTAATGGTTTTCTAAGTTAAGAAACTGGCGGCAAGCTGGTTCTGAGTTAGTCTGGTCAGACAAGTCGGGTAGGTCTGGTTTTCTGAACAGCGCTAAAAGGTCAACATTGGCTTCACTACAGCAGCTCTGGTAGAAAGTAGATCCTAGGAATTCCTTCTTCAAAAGTCTTACAATTACTAACAGTTGTGTTGTTAAAGTGATGGCTTTTCTGGTGATGTGTTTTTTTTTTCCCCTGCTATGAGACACTGTATTAACATGTTATCATTTAGGTAATCTCGTTCTTGAGCATTATAACTTATCTTGAATTTTGGTTAGATTAGTTGAAACAAAATACGCTGTCTGCTTACAGCAGTTGTAAAAAAAATGACCATGTATTAGAGTCTGAATTTCAGGACTTTTGATTTTTTTTTTTTTTTTTTTTTAAGCAATTTTTACCATTCAACATTTGCATGTTAAAGTTCCTATATTGGACCCTCATTGGTGAAGTTGGATCTCTTTTTGTAAAAATAACTAATGACTTAAGGTAGTGTATGTTGTTGAACCGAACTTTGAATGGGCGGAATCACGATTACAAGAAAGACATCGGTATCAACCATCCTTTTGATGGAGTGACATTGTATAGGAATGCTTATTTGTGGTTTTGGTTTTGGTCAACCAAACCTGGAGTATTCCCATGGAATATGGATGCGCATTCTATTCCAAGGTTCATTCCAATAATTCAAATACTACCTCATTTCTAAATATTTGCTTAACTTTTTGTTGCTTTAGTTCTGTTTGTGAGATATGGATTTATTTTCTCATGCTAGTTATTACTCTATGGTCTTGTCACCAATCACACGACAGTAAAGATTTAATGTGTACACGTTGGGCAGATTAAGGGCTACACTTTTGGAGCAATTTGATCGTTACAACAGCGCCCTTCTTTCTACCTGTTTTGAGGATGTCTTAAAGAATGATCCAACCTGTTACGATTCATTGGCAAAACTTGTTCAACTGCATCAAAATGGTACGTGATTTTTCTCAGCTTGTTCATATGCCCATTATTCTTGCAAACAGACAGAACACTAACATTACATGCTGATCATGTAATTATATATATTTCACATTCATGTAATTAGAAAAGATATATCGTCTGAGGAGCAATCTTATAAATTCATGGGTTCTCTCTAGCTCAGTTAACGGAGCATTTCGAGAATTCTTCATTTCTCTTAAGTCAGACAATTCTCTTAAAGAAATAAACCTAAAGAATAAAATGTCTCAAGATGTAAAACCCCTTATCGAGCGTTTAGAAATTTTTGAAGTTACTTTGAGGATTGACATGATTACATCTCCTTAGCTAGAACTTTTTCTTTTTACTAGTAAAAGGTTTTTGTAGAACACGTAATTTATTTGTTGCTGTTCCAATTGTTAAAATCCCTTTGAACCCGTCTAATCCCACTAGTCGCTTTGAACTTCACATGGTTTGGAATTGAAACCAAGTTTCTTGTAAGTATATGACCAGAATTCCCTAGGTGCCAACTTCTCCATTATACAGATAATTTCTATTTTCTTCATTTTCTCAAATCCCTGATCATTTTGCTGTGGAACTTAATAGTCTTCCTCATTTTCTAAGTTTTCAAGGTTTTAAATGTCTCGTCGACTTACAAAATCGGTTTGTGACTAACAATAAACTTGGTCCTATTTCCGAGAATCCTGGAAATCCTTTGTCTCTCTGTCTTTGGTCTTTTTGGGCTATATATTTTTAGGAATTAATACACCTCTTGTTTATGTAGTTTATCTCATTCTTTTGAAAAGACACTGTACTTCATCGTATTGATTAACTTTATTTTGACACTCACGAACAAAATGTTTTATATGAACTTTTTTATAATTTAAGAGAAACTATTGTTTCAAATGCAGATGAATATAGTCTCGAGAGTCTACTGGAAATGATAGCTTTGCATTTAGATGCAACCTATGCAGACTACAACACCTGGAGAGAATTTGCTTTATGTTTCCTGAAGCTTTCTCAGTATGATGAGGACCGAATGTCCGTGTGTCTGAACGGAAATGAAGGTGAACATAAAGAACACTACTCCGTTTGTTTCAATAGGACCCCCAAAATGTTTATAGAGGGAAAATCTGGAGAGAGTTGGAGATTTCGCTGCAGATGGTGGCGTACACGTCATTTCAGCCACCAGACGCTAACCTCGGAGATTGCAACGGGTGAGTTGCAGCTCTTAACTTACAAAGCATCGTGCGCGGTGCATATGTACGGGTCAGAGTTTTCGTACTTTGTGGATGCTTATGCCAGTTTAGAGAAAGAAAATGAGAGGGATTTGCTCATGTTTTTGCAGACCAACATTCAAAATTCAGCTAGAATACAATCAAACTTTGAACAGAGAAGTAGATGAGTTTATGGAGACGAAGCCTGATCATATTTTGTAACTCTTTTGTTTCCTTGCAGCTCAAGCAATCAAAATCAAGATATCATTCTTTTATTAATCTATTTATATTAGTGAAATCGAAAAGTGCATTGAATCTCCTAGTTGTGCCTGAAAAGGTCATGAAGCTCAATTTTTACGCTAGTGACATGTTTACTTGGAATGGGAGAAGTCATAAATCGGGAGAGGGAAAGACGGTTATTGGATCGACTAATTCCCAATAATTGATTAATTCATGATTTTTTAGGTATTTTAGTATAAACTTTAATGTGGAATTCGCCCTTTTCTTTAATTTCCATGTGCATCAATAAACATTGGAAGTCAAGACTTGAAAATTGGAATAATTTCAATACCTGTGTTGTTTTAGTATCAGAAAAATTAATACTCAAAGCAAGGTTTTACATAAGTTTTAATTAATTATCATGTCATATCAAACAAGAAAATATACCACAACACGCTCGGCACCATTCATTTAAATGCAACACCTACAAAGCTCACATGACCCAAGACACGTGATTTTACGGAGGCTTGCCAGAGGGGTTGAGGTGTGGAAGGTTGCAGAGATCCACAAGGCTCATGAAGACTCTTCAATAATGGAGACTTTGCCGTGCTTGGGAGCACCAAAGTCCAAACCCATTAGTGCAGAGTCCATGACAAGAACCTAATTCTATAACAGCATATCGACCCAAGAGATGCATATTCTCCTTTCTTGCATCAAGACATATATTTCCCATGTACCTATTCATGTTGCAACTCATCTTACCTTAGTTTTTATCCGTAGGTTAGAAAAATGATTTCATTTCACTCCTTTAACCGTTGAAAATAGGGGAAGGGGATCCTTTCCGGATCCCTTTCATCAAATACATCAATCTGGACCTTTAAATTTTGATTCAACGGCTAAAGTTATTATAACTTTCAAAGAATACCCCATGTTTTTAACCATTTGATCAAATTTAAAAGGTCCGAATTTATGAATTTGATGGAAGGAATCCGAAGCCTTTCCGAAAATAAGGTATTTCTTGCGCCTCCTATTATCCATAGGACAGTATCAATCCATTGATTTACCCGTTGGAAATAAGCAGTTTCTGAAACATCCTTTTACCCGGCATAAATAAGAGACAGCCTTCACCCTTCATAAAAACGAGCCAACATCGTATGAATAGGGGGGAAGACACCATAGTCAGCTGCACGCAAAAGAGAAAACCTCTTCTCCAGCTGCTGGAAATCTCTCTTGCCTACTGCAAGCCTCCTGCACCAGTCACAAGCCCAGCCTCAAGTTGCCCACTCTCCTTCCTCCAATTCTTTCCTTTCCATCAACGGTAAAAAACAGCCAAATCCACAAACCAAGCCTCAAGTTCCCCATTTTCCTATACATAAAACTCAACCACCATGGCCGAACTCATCCATCGTTAAAAAAACTTAAGCCGAGTCAACACCAAGCATTGTCTTATTTGATAAACTTGTGGATCTTTAGCTCCCACAACTCAAACTCTCATGCCAAACCTTTTTCGGCATTAATTAAGCACCTTAAGGAACCACTTCAACAACAACCGTAAGAAATTCGACGAACACTGAAAGCATTTATTTCAACAGAAGATCGACCCAAAAAATGGTGATTTTGGGTGGGTTTTTTTCTTTTAATTTTATTCATTTCTATTTAAGATGTATTCAATTGAGAATTTGAGAGATTTTAATTGATTTATAAATCCATGGAGTTAAAGGAAGTTTAATTAATTTATAGAGAATCCATTAATTTTTTTATTCAATTCTCTCGAAATCTCAGTAGCTAAATGAAATTTTTTTTAATGCTTAAATTGCACTACGAAATCTCTCAATTTCCTTTAAATTCCTCAACTTTTAAAAATTCTTTAAAATAAATTCTTAATTGAATATATATGAAATATTATAAATTTCTTTGAAATCCTAATTGAATACATCTAGATTTCTAAGGATTTTAATAAATTATTTTAAAATCCTAATTAACTACACGTTGAATTTCAAAGAATTACTTAAAATCATAATTGAATAGCTTTAAATTCATTAAAAATTTAAATAATATGGTTGTAAATAATTAAATTATTAATTAAATATTGATTAACATTCTTGTTTCTTATTAATGATAAATCGAGTTTGGTTTAAAATTTTAATTTTTTCTAAAATTATCCGAAAGAAAATATAATTTAAAAGTGAAATGGCAGTTTAGCCCATCATTGTCACCGCCAGCAGAAAACTCATGTAGACGCTGTCCTTCCCCTTTTCACACAATCCCTCCTCCGTTTGTTCCATGCCTCCGAGTCGCTCTTCCAATTGAATAAATCGGGACACAATTCGACTCGGAGAACCAGAACCAAACCCAACCCCCGAGTCGAATTTGTAATTTGTGAGGGAGGAGGGCAGCCATGGCATACAGGGCTGACGATGACTACGACTATCTGTTCAAGGTAGTGCTGATTGGCGACTCCGGCGTCGGAAAATCGAACCTTTTGTCGAGATTCACGCGTAACGAGTTCAGCCTCGAGTCGAAGTCGACGATCGGCGTCGAGTTTGCCACTCGGAGTATCCACGTTGATGAGAAGATCGTCAAGGCCCAGATTTGGGACACCGCTGGCCAAGAAAGGTTTTTAACTTTTTCGCCGAATTCAAAATTCGATCATTTCAATCCGTTTGTATTTTTTGTTGTTCTTGTTATGGGATTTGAGTAACTGGGTGATTGAGTGCTGAAAAAATGTGGGTAAATGGGTAATTGGGTGCTGAGAAAATGTGGGAAAACTGAAGGGAATGTTTAGATTTTTTCGTTCGCCATACGAGTCGAGATCTGTCGACCAATTGGGTTTTTGTTTTTGTTTTTGTTTTCGCGTTATTGTTGCAATGCTGAACAGAATCTGATATTGCTGTAAGATCACTGCTGAATTTGAACATGTTTAGTTCTGCTTGGTTCATTGCAGAAGGACTGTTGGACATTATAAGTAGGTTATTGGTAAGTGTAAAATGTCTCCTGTGCCGTCAGATGTAAATTCAACAAGGGATTCTAATGTGGCTCTATGTTCGGAATAGTGTGTTTTTGGAAATGATATCGGTACTGAATATTCATTGCTTTCCTTATGCGAAGCAGATATGGTCTTTAGTTTGTGTTGCAGGACTTTTTCGGTAGCAGATTAGAAGTATTTGAGATATAGTTAGGTTGCAGGGCAGTTAAAATTTTGTTTATTTGATGTTGGTCTTGGTTGTGAATTGTGAGTGATGATTGCCTGAATGTTTAAGTTTTGAGTAATTCTTTCTTTTGTTGAAGGTACCGTGCAATTACAAGTGCATACTACCGAGGAGCTGTTGGCGCTTTGCTTGTCTATGACGTCACCCGGCATGTGACATTTGAGAATGTTGAAAGATGGTTGAAGGAGCTACGGGATCACACAGACTCCAATATCGTGATAATGCTAGTGGGCAACAAGGCTGACCTGCGTCACCTTCGTGCTGTGTCTGTTGAGGATGCCAAGGCCTTCGCTGAGAGGGAAAACACCTTTTTTATGGAGACATCAGCACTCGAGTCTATGAACGTTGAAAATGCGTTCACTGAAGTCCTAACACAAATATACCATGTAGTCAGCCGGAAAGCACTAGAGGTAGGAGATGATTCTGCAGCATTGCCCAAGGGACAGACCATAAATGTCGGAAACAAGGATGACGTTTCTGCTGTTAAGAAAGCTGGTTGCTGTTCTGCCTAATCGTGAGGGCGATAGGTCAATCTTAAGGGTGTCGTCTTCTCATTTTGCTGCCCCTAAAGTTTCAGGATTTGTACCTGTCAACTCATGGAGTTTGTCATGAACTTTTTACTGTATGGTATTGCCTGAGTTTTTTAGGGTTGGCTTATAGTTTTGGAGTCAAAAGAAATGTCACAGCTTCCGTCTTATGTCAATTTTTTTATTAATTTACCTACGGCCCTCTCGCAAAATCTCGTGCTTCATCTTTTGTTGGTACTTTTGTTTGTTCTAGTTTAGGTATAGTTTCTGGATAATTTTTTTGAAGTTTTTTGAAATGGGTCCAAAGTAACTAAAAATTTGACCTATTTCAAAAGTCAAAAATCACTAAAAATTGGACCTATTTCAAAAGGTAGTCTATAAAATTAGACCTATTTCAAATTTTCCCAATTTTTTTTGTATCGGATGGATGCTTAGTTAAATGTAGGATGAATTTAGCTTCCCTTTTATGGCCCAATTAAGGGTGCATTTTTCTCGTCACCCTCAACGGTGGTAATGCTCACTACTCTATTTGTTACCATTGAATAAGTTTAAATTTTAAGATTTTTGTATATCTATTACATAGATTTCGAAATTTAAATAGTGTGATGCGCATTACAGCAAAATAATCTCCCCCAAGCAAATTGCCAATCGAGAAGGTTTAACACCATGACACGATGCGGATTTAAGGATTCCGAAGTTTTACACCACAACACACATCTAAGTTCACCCAACAAGTTTTTTTAAGTGTGTTAAAGCCAATTCTACCCTGCCATCACGTCGACGTCCGTGTCGGCGTCAGATTCACCGACCAGCCTGACACCGGCATCCTCCCTCTCTCTAAAGCGAACAAGGATTCTCTCTTTTTTTTTTTTTCTCTCATCTTCTGTTTGAATGCTCAAGATTTCATCTTTGTAGAGACGGAAAAAAAAAAGTAAAGAGAGAACAAAAAAAATGTGAGAGGAGTGGAGGGAGGAGGAGGATCCTCATCCCATTTGAGGGGTCGTTTGATATCGTAGGGATCGTAGTGAAGAAGCTCAATTCCAATTCATAACTTAACTCAGGAAAGGAAGGGGCGAGAGAGAGAGAGAGAGAGAGAGAGAGAGGGAGAGGGTGGGATCGTATATAGTTGACACAGCTTGAGATTAATAACGAACAATTAACAAAGACATTAAATTGTCACTCCAAACATAATCATAATTCAGCGTCGATCATTTTTCGTCGACAAAGATGAATTATTGAAAAAAAATAAACAAGAAGTTGACACTAACGAACAAGAATGTGGCTTAATTACCGAGAGTAATACAGCAGGACGCAGAATTATAAAATAAAATAATGGTTTTGAA